CACACACACACACACACACACACACACACACACACACACACAACCAGGCATTACATTATGAAGCATTTAACAAAGGGTTAAGGGGTTATGCAGCCACACATGCAACAAACTGTGATGCTCTGTGTATTCTCACACTTTTCTATTAGAACCAGCGTTACAGTTTTCTGATGCATCCAACCACACAGGCCAGCCTTTGGTCCTCACCCCACATGCATCAATGAGCCTAGGCCCCATGACGCTGTCACTGGTTCATCACCGTTCCTTCACTTTTGATAGATACTGACCACTGCAGACTGGCAACACCCCACAAAAGCTGCAGTTTTTGAGAACTAGCCATCTACCCATCACAGTCTGGCTCCATGTCAAACTGGCCCAAATCCTTACGGTTGCCCATCTTTCCTGCTTCTAACACTCCCTAATATGTCCCACCCACGAACAGGTGCCATGATGAAGAGATTATCAGTTATTCATTTCACCTGTCAGTGGTCATAATCTTATCCCTGCTCAGTATATATCATTTAGTGTTTAATAGTGATGGTCATATGAAAGTGTATCTGACATCATCAAGGAGGATCACATGGCTTCTCTCTTCTTTAACCAAAGGCGTATACTGTACTATAGAACACGATTGATGGGTTAGCACGCTATGCTAAGCTGCAAATCAAGTTCTCAGTAATTTCTCAAAACTTATTCTGAACACAGAACTGTCTGTAGCAGGTTATGTTCAGAGCTTTGACTTAAATCATCTGGAAACAACACTTTCACAGACTTTTTTTATTTACAGTAAGCTCTAAGTGCTATATATATTATCTGCTGCAGGAATACATTTTATACAAGGAACCTAATGAGCCATATCGTACTGATAAAACCAAATGAATCCCAGCTGTAAAGTTGAAGCAGTGCAAACTGTGTGTCACATTTTCACTGGAATTTGTATGGATCCAGTTGGTCATGCAGAAATGTTTTTAATGTTTGATCCTCATCCTGCTAAGTCTCCTCTTCGCTGCTCAAACTGCAGCTAACAGAGGTCAGATTAGAAAACGGATCGTTATGATCTTGAGGCTATTTATTGCCAAAAATTTCCAATCAAACACTTCATCTCACTTTGATCTGGCAACAAGTCTCGTTCGTTAGGTTATGGGGCAGAGTCACACTTGAAACACTGAGTAATATTTAATGTTGAAATGTGTCTCGCTTTAGAAAGTTTCTAATGTGCTGATGTGATGTTAGAAATAAACAGCAGCACAGAGAGCACATCGAGCAACAATGTAACATATTTATTTTACTGATGATGCACGATGAACATTAATTGACAAAACAAAAACATTCTGCAGCTCTTGTGCATCTTAATATAAAGTCTCTGACTCTGACGGGAGTAGCTGGTGCTCACTGCATGAATAACCGACATACACGCACGCTGAAGCAGAAAGCCTGGCCTAACAGAGGAAGTTGATAAACATCACAATGATGTCATTTACTCGGGTTTAGGTTTTGTTGAGTATCTAAAATGGAAGTGTGAAGTTGGTAGTGATGTAATGCAATGGCTGAGGTGGAAGTGGCAGAGTTGAAGATGCTAGGTTTTGGAGTGCATCAGAGGGACAGCTCAGTATGAGCATTTTGGACCAGGCAGGAGGAAGACCTCAGAGTGGATGCAGTGAAGGGGCGTATGCAGAGGGTTTGGATAACAGAGGACAATAGCAGGGATAGAATGATATGGAGGCAGACGATCTGCTTTGGCAAGCCCTAAAGGGAGAAGGCAAGAGAAGAAGACGAAGAAGCTTCAACATCTGATATGTTGTTTTTGTGTTATTTCCAAATAAATACAGATTTTAGATGGATTTCAAATCAGGTGATTATGCTTTCATTTTATACAGCCTTCCAGCTTTTCTGAAAACAAACTGAATGATAGAAAATGTAACAAAAGCCTCTCAGTGGATGTTTCTGAGTGTGTGCTGCTGTGGGTGCTTCCAGTTGGAAACTAACTACTGGTAATCCTTGACCTCAGTGACCTATGCATAGAGCAGAGGAGACACACTAACTTGCGCACAAGCCGGGCCAAAGCCATATTGGCATTCACGTGTACATTCACATGGATCCAGTGCGGCGTGGGAGGCAGAAACCGCAACTACAACTTTGGGGAAGCTAAAAGAGATCCAAACACCTACACACAAAACATGACATTTACTCTACAAATACCCTGGTATCTTCTATATGATGGAGGAAAAATAGCAAGCACACAGAGACCTCACTGCTAAGCTTAGACTAACAGAGAGTTATTTAATCTTAAAGGAGTAACAGGCATTTTTCTCTGAGAAAGAAATAACCAGGTGACTGAACCAACCCATATGGAAAAGATATATATAAATCTTATAAAGTTTTTACCTGTCTTGTATGAAACTTGTATGAAAAGCATACAGGAGTGAAAACACATATAAGATCCCTTGAAAAATTATATGATGAAACTTGTATGTTTTATATACTTACTAAAAAAATATATGAAAGTAATGAGAAAGTGGCCACTTTCACGAGTAAATCATGTAAGCCTTATATGATTTATATATGATTTACTCATGCAAGTGGCCACTTTCATGAGCAAATCATATATGTTTTTACTATTTCTTTTCCATATGGGAAGTGCAGCAGTACAGCTCCTCACAGTGAGGCCAAAGGAGACTGATTAACTGAGGAACTGTGCTTAATTATTAGTTAATCTGTTCATTGTTTGTCTATAAAATATCAGGAAATTGCACAAAGTGACCTCATCTACATGCTGGTTTTGTAAAACCATAAACTTGCAAATATTCCGTTTGCTATAATAAACACGTGAAAATATTTGTTTTTATTCAGCAGAAATCTCTCACACTTTTTTCAGAGGTTTTCTCACATGACCCTCTTCGAGTTGGATTCGCCAAACTCGCTTCTGCTCTGCCGATTGTGGGCGAGTTTTATACAAAAGGATACAAGCAGACCTTGACACCGCAGAGCTCTGAAAACAGGACTGATTTAGCTTTGTCAGTAGCTGAAAGAATTAGATAACGTGAATGGAGCTGCCAGCGACGTGTTGCCGCGTGGTTACAGAAACAAAGACATAATGTTTGACCTAAATTTATATTCTAAAAAAACGTCCTTCAAAAGCAACGAGGTCCACGAGTCAGACGGGAGATGTCAAGACTTGCACTGAGCGTTCCAATGACTCAGAGGTGTTGAGAATTTTGAGAAGTTGTCACAATAGATCAATTAAATCAGAACATTTAAAATAAATAATAACTCCACTTTTAAAAAAATCTGGAAACTCTAACTTAACAGGCACTCTTTTTTCTTTTATCTTACAAAATAGAATGCACAGATTATTATCAGCTGACCAAACAACCAGTTCATGATTCATCTGTAGTCCAAATATACTACAGAAACTACACAAATACATATTACTTGTCTTCACATGTGACGTGCGTCACCCACGTCTACCTTTGCAGCTTCCTTGGGCAGGTCAAAGGGGATACGTTGGCGGATTTTGGGGGGCAGCTGACTGAGCACATCAGCTTTGAGACGACGGATCATGATCTGACTCAGCCGCTGGTGCAGCTCATCCAAGTTGGACGCCCCGCGACAGTCCCACTGCCTGCGAGGCCCAAAATACCTGTGAGAGAATAAATAAGTGATGAAGTTGTGCCTGCTAACTTTTTTATACATACACCTCTAACTGAGATGCACTTCCCAAGAAACCACACTTATTTACTTGCAGCAGTGCCTTGAAGGAATAGTTAAACATTTAAACATTCCCACCTGGGAGCTGCCCAGCACTAGAACAGCCTTCCATCGTTTACTGTTAAGCAGCTCTGTTGGAGCAGTTGGGGAATCTTTTTTTTTTGCCTTTTTGCTTAAGGGCACTTTGCAAAGCAGGAAACTATTTTGCCTAATGGCCACAGCAGCAGGTTTATTCCAAAACTCACGGGCAACTTTCACAATTCATCAGCCAAATGGACTTTTAGAATAGAACTGGCCCCCCACACAAAGGCTGGTTATCTGCCATATTGGCTGGAAGTGTGGACAAACTTAACAAGGCACTGCCAAAATTGGCTGTTTCACACTTCTCTGTTTAAAGCTGTAATTGGTGTAGGATGGGAAACTAACTCATTCTTTCTAAAATAATGTTTCCCCCTTGTGTGCAGATTTGAACCAGCATCTCTCCAGCTGCAGTGCTGTTTTTCCTTTCACCTCTGCTGCTGCCGTTTCCCACAGCAACCTCAACTTTATGTAAGAAACAAGAAGGGAAGATTGCACTCAGATGGCACCGCCTTGCACTCCTCTGAGTGTGCGTGAGAGAGTGCATACGTGTGACTTAGAACGGCATTCCCCAGCCACACCAAGCGCTCTTAGACACAAAGCATAATATTTAATGGCGCCAAGCCATTCCCTGACCGAGCTGCTGACTTTGATGGACATCCAAAACAATGCATTTGATGTGTTTGTTCACACATGTAACCAATCATCACTGTAAACTGGCAGCCAGTTGGCATTTAGCGCTTGGCTTCAGTTGCAGTCTGGCTTTGACAACAAACCATCAACTCAGCAGCACCACCAATCCAGGCTCAGGTATAGGCCGGCTTATCCCAGCAGACACAATTAAATGGTAGGTGAGAAGGACTGAAACTGTGCTAATTCCACAGAACTGCAGATAAACAGTGAATGAGTACACTTCAATCTGGTGATAGTGGACTTAAATGCAGGCACAGTAAGATAGGTTCAAAAGGTGCGGATTCAATAACATCTGATTTGTGTCAATCAATTTTCATCAATGTACAGTTACCACCGTAAATGAGTTGTATGCCTCCACCATCAATCAGGTTGCACTTCATTTCTACGCCTGTCCAAACTAAATAAAGCAAAGACTTTGATTTAAGGAATTTAATTAAAGATTTTTTAAAGATTAGTGCCACAAATTCAGTTTCTGGTTTCTGACCCAACATAAAACGTGCTCACAATCGTCCCTTCTGTTCCTGAATAATAGTGTTGAATAATGGCCAAAGAAATGGTAGCCCTGAATATTACAAATTCACTGTGCACGTGGTTTAAATAGCACTACTTCACTATGCTATGCGTGTGAAATTTCCTGGCAGGTCACAAAAATGGTTAAAAAGGTCACAGAGACTTTTATGACCACCCATCTCCAAAACCTGATCAGCTCATCCTGTCTGAGTAAACGTCAAATTTGAAATATCCTTTTAAGGAGCTGCAGAGAGATCAAGACCCAAAACCCTGTACCTGAATATGTTTTAATTTTTCTGTTGAACATATGTTTTCAGATACACCACACAACCTCAATTCTACAAAAGGTTAGAGATATGCTAACCCAACACCTGTGTGTCTCATTTTCACTGTGTGGTATGGAAGATGTGGCAGTTCTACTTAAATTGAACATAAATATAGCTTTCAGCGTCGCTAACGCTTCTATCCCTAGATGTCGAGGCATAGAAATGTGCGTGATACCATGCGGAGTAATACTAGGTTAAAACAGGCAAATCAATACGACAATAATGCTTCCCAATTTCAATATTAAAATTGTTGTGGAGTGTATGCTGTGAAGAGAAATCTAAGAGCCGGAACACTTTTAGCTTAGCCTAGCATAAAAAAACAAACGAACAAAAAAAAACCAATAGGTAGCTATTTTCTCTCTCTCACTCACACACACACACACACACACACACTTTTCACATATTATTTTGTGCTTCAGTGTTTGTACTTTTAACTGTTCCAGTGTCAGGCTATCTATTTACTCTAGCTTCCTGTCTTTATGCTTTGCTAAGCTAACACTCTCCTAGCTCTAGGTACTATTAATATCATGTTCTTGGGTAATACTCTGGACGATATAAACAAAGTGCATTTGAATAACAAAAATGCTGACATAACACACAAATACAGTTATATAAAATGTAAACTAGCATTGCGGTTCATGTTAATAGGAACAACAATAAAATATGCAGAAATTTAGAAAAATGTCACCTGTAATGGGCATTGCAGTATTTTTTGGCATAGTCAGTCCAGGTTCCGAACCTCTTGGGATAAAGGGCGTCAATTTGCATGAATAGCTGTAAAATACACAAACAGGTAAGGAGCCTTAAATACAATTTTTAATAAAACCATGGATTAATTCATAGAAATATCCGTGAGAGTGTTCATGTCTGTATGGGGGAAAGAGATAGAGAACTGAAACAAACTGAAGAGAGTGTGTGATATCTCACTGTCTGATTTCTGAACGAATCTCTTTGTAACGCCAATGATCTTCTCATTGCTTGCATAGTTTATCTTATCATACAGTTTCTTTCTAACAATCTTCATCTTTTTATTTAAAGAAATGAAGCATAAAAATGGGGGTTTTAGTACAGCTACACTGATGTGACTATGGAATCTATAAAAGTAGATGTAACTGTTGTGATATTGGTTTTTGAAGTCTCGAGTTGAGCATTTGGCTTCTGATGTGTTGATGTTTTTTTTAAACCAGATGTCAAAAGAGAAGGAGTGGATGTGACTGAGAATCCAAGGGCACTGCATCCTAATACGTAGCAACTTGCTTTATGCTCCATTTTCTCCTACATGGGACTATAATTTACGAAAATGAACACTGATGTTTTAAAGAAGACTTGAAACTAGTGATTGAGATTATACACTACTTTGGAAAATCCTAACTGAGATTATAAACAAAGGGAAAAGTAAGATAGCTTTCCCATAGACTTCTAAAACCTCAGACTGTTTAGGAGCCAGTAGAACTGCCCCCTGCTGGCCATTACAAAGAATGCAAATGTAGGACACATCTGCACTGCCTTTACTTTTTAGACACAGATCCTGCATCCACTTCTTTTACATAGTCTATGAAAATGACCAGTAGCTCGACTGTAGTACTATTTAACTGACATTAGTAGTTAAGCAAGGTGACCAGCTGCCGGGTCTAACTTTTAACTCTTATAAAGAAAAGTAAAGCAAACACAGTCCCCTGATTTAGCATGTATGTATCCTTGAAACTGCTGGCTGTTTTAGTTCCCACCTTTTCGCTTTTGCACAAAGTAGCATGAGCTTTTTTTAGCTTTAAACAGAGACCTTACCAGAGCTCATGATTAGTCTACTGTCATGAAGTACATCTTCTCTGTAGCTTACCCAAGGTCCTGCTGTCCTTCGCCTAGTTTACCAGCGCTGCATTGTGCAACTGTGTGGTTATTTGTGTCAGCACCAATTAACCAGGTCAAACCGCTGTGCAGTCTAACAAGGTGAAGAAAATGAAACGGATTTGAAATTTTAAGGATGTGGACACAGTCGACTTACTCCAATTAAACAGCTCCTGGCATAAAGATTTTCAAAAGATCTTTGCTTTGCTTGATGTCGCAAGACAAAAGACAAGCTGCTGCTGTCTGTCTTCAGTGGACGTATGTGACTGCAGGTAAAGAGCGTGTTTATATCACAGGTTGCAACAAAGCTCACAGAATATTCACGTGATGTGTATGTGTAAGTGTGTGTGCAAACATCAAGGCTGCTGTTTGAATGCACACCATCCCTGTCAGTTTTCCAGTATATGCAGCAATTTCTCAAGTAATGACAGTTAATCGTCAGCAGCTACACTGACGAGCCTTATTCTAAATTCAGCACTTGTTCACCGGGAGCTTTGCATCCCCCCTCACGCCACTGATATAATAGGTGGGAGGAATGAGGGCACATCATGAACGGTGCAGCATGCCCTGAGCTGTGTGCTAACTCGATGTCAGAGCCACAGTGAGTAATGATGGCAGTGAGGAGACTGGCACAGAGGCAGGGACAGGGCTTATCAGGTTTATGCTGTGGATGATAAAATGTTATATTCAGTTTCAGATTCTAGTGGCAGGGAGAAGGAAGGAGAGATGATATCTAAAAACTAACCTCACCACTGCAGGCGGGCAATGGCAAAGACAGGATAGCATGTGTCACGCACACACACGCCGAAGTCTATAACACACATGCGCGTGCACTTTTTCGATGATACACCTTCTCGAGATTACTTGCGAGTACTAACTTTACTTCGTTTTGGAATTAATTATCCGCCTGAATTTCATCAGTTAATTATCATGATCGGGTCTAGGCAATAATTAAGTTTCCCTCAAAGCAACGTGGCAGTTAGATGACAGTGCGAGCCAAGCAGAGTCCCGCATAAATAGTTTAGCATATATTAGTCAGGAGGTTGATTATTAGCTCACTGATAATGAAGCTTCTATATATGAACTGCTAAATATTTATATATGAAGCCTCTTTGATAGGAATTTATTAGAAATAATGTTGGTAATATTTTATATTATTTCTTCAACACATCAAATGAAAAATAAGCAATGAATTGATTCTACTAACAAGTGTGTGTGTGTGTGTGTGTGTGTGTGTGTGTGTGTGTGTGTGTGTGTGTGTGTGTGTGTGAGAGAGAATGCTGACATGTCACTCTTTGAACCACAGAGATCGACCTCTTTTGTTGTTCAAAATCTAATATCAGCATCAGTAAGCGAACATGTTCCTTCATTAGTGTAAACACACACACACACACACACACACACACACACACACACACACACAGAGTAATTGAGTCAAATGTGTATTAATCCACAGCTGAAAATAGTCCCCCGTGATACTAACATTTCTTTTCCTTTTAAAACATAAAAACACATTTATTATGTTTTTAAAAACATACAATGTGGAGTAAGCAAGTCTTAGCAATAACAAGTCAATGTAACAAATTTGGGGACTTTAACTGATAATTACTAATAAAATATTAACTAAAAAAAATACTAATATGATGCAATACATTATTTATGTTGAAGATGGAGCAGTTTGGGGTTTTTTTTAAAGTTGGGTAGAGGTTTCAATTTCTGACCGTCTCCTGTTTGGTTTGAGGTGGGTGGGTGTGGCTCAGCTGGAACATAGTGATGTCAGAAATTAAACTGCACCAATAGGCAGAGACCAACACACACACTCCCAGCAAAGCAGATTATCTTTTCTTTTTTTTTCTTTAAATTTGAACTGTATAAATAGTGTCTCTGAATGTTTAATATACTCTTCATCATTGATCTTTTTCAATTTTACAGACAGATGTTTTTCTGGGTCTTTAACCTCCTAGGACCTGGTGTCCACATATGTGGACATCACATTTTGGGACGTCTAGACCAAAATACTTAATTTTTCTCTACAAGGGCCTGATATGCACTCAAGAGGACATTATGCTGCCACTGTTCTATCAAAATTTGAAACAAATGTCCTCATATGTGGATCTCATCTTTCTCAAAAACAAAAGTTAGGTTAAAAAAAAATCTGGTAATTCTTTGTTTTTACATTATTTAGGTCCCAATCAGCCCAAATAGCAAAGAAAAATTAAAAATGCATGCCATGAAAGAGCTCGGGTCTTAGGCGGTGCCTCTTCTTAGTTTCTCCACTGTGGTGTCATTTAACATATCCTTTACATAAATGTGCAGAGCACTTTGGAAACCTGTTTAGAAGAAAAGACCTTAATAAATAAAGTTGTAATGTTTTTAATATGCAGCACAGACATTCGGGTGGGAAAAAAAAAACTTAAATAAGATACACCGCAGGTTACGAATAATTATGGGGCCTCTGTGTATGTGCGTGGGTGGGTGCGTGTGGTTGTGTGTGCACTGAAGGAAACAGCTATCACAATTAGGCTGTTCTGTACGGTGTGCTAAAACAAATTATTCTTAAATGTTGCACTGAAATTGCAAAAAGGAAGGAAAAAAGGGGTAAAATCTTTACAGAAGATGATGAGAATTAGCTAATAAACACATGAACTTTCATCAATTATTCATTAAGCCAACATCATGACTATTTAAGCAACACAAACACAGTAAAAGCTAAGAGTTACTCTGCTCCCGAAGCTGCAGAAGATGACTGGAAGAATTGTGGGAAGTTTAAAATGCCTAAACACACAGCTGTATCGGAGTACAGCGGGCACACGGTGTTTGTTATTGATACTGTATTGTCTCTTCACATTGAGACGGTGAAAGGATTTTCTATTCACGACGTCTTCTTCATCTTCCTTAGCTGCAGTGATGGAATATGGCTGTAATCTACAGCTTCAATATAACATATATAAAAACGATATAATAAATCATTATGGAGAGGGGATTGGCTCAGCCGCTCTCCAAACACCATTGTCCTGTGAACAGCCCTTCTTATTGTCTTGAAATTCAATAGTCCCCCCCTCCTCCTGTGCGTTTCTTTTTATTACTTGTCTCATTTATTGCGGTGCAGTGTCTCTTCATATCGGGCTTTGTAAATGAAGTTTTTGCAACAAAGGTTATTGAAATAAGACCACGGGATCCTGGAGGATAAGTGACGCCGGAGAGAGTTAATTGGCTTTTTGAATGTCGGATCCGAGCGTAGCCTGCTCTAGAGCAAGTTACCATGGCGATCTACCTGCGCTGCACAGTGGAGCACCTTTGTGAGCAGCTAGAGCTGAGCCCCGAGCTGGCCTGCTAATCTCTCCTCACAAGTGTGGGCTCAGGATTCCTTTATAAAAATCCATCTGTTCCAAATCTACCGAATGCAGCCTTCTCTATTTAGCCACACTGCTCCCTCCTCTTCAGCTCTGTGTTTAATTTTTCATTAAAAATTCAAAGCGGGGTTTGAAGGAACTTTGAATCTGCCGTGTCATTTGGTGAGAAAACAAAACAGCTTACTCCAGTTAAATTTGTATCCTTTCCCCCTGAGGCGTCATTAAATTACCATTTAATCAAGTTTTATTACCTCCTCAGGTCGACCCAGAGCAGGGGTACCGGTGAGCAGGATGGCGCGCTTGGCGCTCTGAATGAGAGGAACGAGAATCTTCGTCCGCGCTGCGTTCCTGGATTTGAGATAATGCGACTCGTCCACCACCACCACGGCAAACCTTTGCCCGCTCAGTGCCTCCACCAGGGGGCGTGCATCTGTGGTGAGTAGGCCATAGCCCAGGACGGTCACTTTACTGCTACCAATGCCACTGAAAGGATAAAGCACACACATAAAAGACCAATAAAAAGAGTCACTTCTTTTAATGGTTTTCGTTAAACCAGTAGTGTGAAACCAATACAATAATGGGAGACAGAGATAGCTAACAATAGCCAAAGTAAAACGGGTAAAACCAGTGAACTTTAGATTCAAAATGAATAATGTGTTTATTACAATGTGTATCTGTAAACTACCTGTGATTGTGACACAAGAAACAAGAATATTATCAGGTTTCTATGGTTACAGTGAAACTAGTAACTCTGTGCTTGCTGTTTGTGCTTTTTCAATGATTGCTGTGTAACTGTTTTATTGACAATAAGCCTCATAAAAAGACCAAAACCAACAGTCTGTTATACCTTCTCATTGCTTAGAAATAGCCCAGAATTTATCCTTTTTAAAAAATGTTTTTTATAAAAAAAAGTTTATTTTAAAAAATGCTCCAAAATCTTAGTAACTGACTTTTTGTATATGTGGACGGGCTAAAGGCTAACTAACAACTGACTGTACATTGTAGCCTCTAAAAGCTAATGAAAGCTTTAAGCTTGGGCCACATGATCTAAATTGTATTTAGTTAAAGATTTCCTCAAGTAGCTTCAGATGAAAGAGCTACAAAGTAAGAGCCAAAGATACATTTAGCATTTATATTGGAGCGTCAAACATTTGAGGATTAGTATCCAAATATTTTACTTAAGTGTTATATATAAGATTGTGTCCAATTATTAGCACGACAGGTTTAAATCAAAAGTGTTGTAGCACCTGTCAAGAGTATTTCTGTATGGATTAGATATGATTTCTGAGCCTTCCTCTCAAACCTACTGCATCCATAAGTGAAAGTAATTCTACAATGAAAAATAACAGACACGTAGTTTTTTAAGGCTTGTTAAACTCCTAAAACATGTCTGTACTACAGGTTTTAACAAAAGGAAATTATTTATTATTTGGGGAGTTTTGCAACTGTTTAGCCACAATATAATGTGTGTAAAAAAAACACACGTGTCACTCGCTGTTTTTAGCTGTATGGTACAAATAAAATATGATGTTTTTGACCTTGGATACACCAACAGTACTTATTAATTTATTTATCTAGTGCCAATTTATGGGTGATTTTCATGGAGTTTGTTGGCGATGAGTATATCACTGTAGCTTTTGAAGAAGCCCCCTTTAAAAGTAGTAAACGTGTAGTTTACAGCTTACAGTCAGGATTGTATACACACTCGACACCTGCTTAAATGTTCGGGTGTTATTGACTTGGCAACTGAGCCCTTAAGGTAAAGCAAACCAAGCTGTTTAAAAGAGCCTATGGACTTAAATACGTGTCAACACACACACACACACACACACGCACACACACACACACACACACACACACACACACACACACACACACACACACACCTTTCATCCATCTCCTTTTTTACGGCTTCATAGCAATTTCTATATTTTTCAGCTATGGTATGTGCAGCTCTGACACGGGTACACAGGCACAGATAAACAAACAAACACACAGGCGACATTCAGCTGCATGAAACTCAATAATGATCTCTGAGAAATCAAAAACATTTCCAGCATCTGTCAAGCTTTAATTCTTTGACTTCGCCACACACGCAGGCGCTCACAGACACACATTTCCAAGCTGAAATAAACCTAAGGTGCCATTCATGTTCTACAAAGGCACAAGTGAGTCAAAATACCGAGAGGAGGTGCTGCATAATTTTTTCTTGCCTCCTCGTTCAGTCATTAACACATCCAGTTCAAGGACACGTTTTCCCCAGAAGGCTTTCACAACCTCTTTGCACCTCATCTGTGATGCTGGGAGTGTCCCTGTCCCCCCCCCATCTAATCCAAGTCACAAATATAGAAAGTTTATGTCATTCAAAAATTAGAAAGAAAAAAAAACTAGGGGAAAGTTGAGAAGATGAAAAAGTAGATGTTTTCTAAGCTTACATGCAACATTAATCCACAATACAGAAACCTGAATCAGTGCAAACAAAATGAAGCACGTTCCAGCACCAGCATTTTTCCTTCCTGCGTGGGAAAAAATAAATAAATAAAATAAATGCAGCTCTTGTTCAATATCGCAGACGTCGCCTTGACATGATTTGTCTGTCAGTGCTGTCAAACATCGGCCCCTGCTGGCTCTTGACACCAGGGGACACTTTGAGATTAATTTATCGTGCCCAGCTTTGCAGTCTATCACGCTGCCTCCGCTTCACACAGTGTGACCGTGAACGTTCGCGCTTTTATTACGTCTTTTTAGAGTAAATGATTAGCAGAGGGCCGGAGAGAAGAAGTCGTAACAAGAGATGTTAGATGCTGCTGTGCAGCTTACTGTAAGGGCAACGACGCTTTAAATTCAAGTAATGGCTGCCGCCGTCCACTCGCACAATATTTTGCATGGATATTATAAGTACTGAAGTAACCCTGAGTGAGCTTCTACACAGGAAAACCAAAGTTATCGGTGGAAACATGATTAGTTTACCATTAAATGTATTAGCAGCAGACATTCTTTTTTTGGGGGGCTTGAAACCAGAGAATTGATTATATTCTATAAAATCAAACTACAAGTCTTTCTTTTAGAGTTACTTACATGTGTTAAAAAAGGAAGGAAACAGCTGCCCAAAATTCCTGTGTATGTTCTATCAAAGGATTATCAGCCGAAGCTGAACTAAAGTCAGGCCGTACCTTCATGCAGTACCACTTTGTGCCACAGCATGGTGTATTGAGTCAATATATTTAACCAGTCAAGCGTAATGTTTGCTTATAAATGTATTGTGCAATTTAATTAAAAAAAATAAAAAAACTCACACCTATGGTGTCAAGAACTCACAAACTCTCATGTATCGAATATGATACACTTGGCGTTACAGGGTTCAAAAACAGTACCTTTAAGTACCTTTATGTGATTTTTAAGCCAGTATCGACCTTCCCTTCTGCAACGCTCTGTAAACGAGACAACATCGAATAATGTGCACGCTATCTATCAATTCACCATCTATCCAGAACTTCACAACCACGGCAGCAGTAATGTGCAGTTTGATGTTACAAACCGCTGCTTTAATAATAAGCCGTTAAGCTACTGTGGTCTTTGTCATTGTGACAATATTAGCCTTTCATTTTAGGGGTGCAACGATACTCGTATCGATATTGAACCGTTCGATACAGTGCTTTCGGTTCGGTACGCATATGTATCGAACAATACAAAACTTTTTATTTATTTTATCAACTTTTCTTCTGACGATGATGTCTGTGTTGAGCGCTTAGTGGAACTGCGTTCGACTACTCCGCCTAGGCTGCACTGTGGAGTGCAGATCCACTGAGCGCAGCGCAAGCTAGCAAGACAGAAGCTAAGCTCGTTGCAACATGGCAACTGCCTCAACGCTACCCGAAATTGAACCTCCCCCACCCTCATTCAGATCTGGCGTTTGGTACTATCTTGGTTTTCATGTGAAGCATGACCCTGATGGTAACCGCGTCATGGACAAAAGTAAAACAATATGTCGGATGTGCCACGCAATGCTCAATTTGTGGGAACTATTGCGTTAGCACAGTTAGCTTGTTAACACACATTTACTCCGATATCATCCTAGTGCAAAGACAAGTGGAAGCAGACAAAAACAACAAGCACGCATGCTACAAACTTTACCCGAGTCATTTAGACAGCTGTTAGCACATGATTCTCCTTATGGGGACCTGATATGTTTAATATGCTGCTGAGAATATAGCCCAGAAGAAGCGGATAGTATAGCTTTTATTTTGGAAAGAGCCATTTCTCTGTAATAAACTCTCTTTTCCAAAGATGAGTGATTTCTCCAACAGATAGATTTATTATTTTATTACTTTGTTGTTTCAGCAACATTAAATTTAAAAACTGTACTTTTGAGTTAAAATATATATTTATAATTTTAATAAATGACAAATTAAAAAGGCATGAACATTTTTTTGTATCGAAAAAATATCGAACCGTGACACCAAAGTACCGAACCGAACCATGAATTTTGTGTATCGTTGCACCCCTATTTCATTTGGAGTAGAACAAATTTGAATTTGCTTATTCTATATTTAGGAGATCATTCAACTTGATCTTAAAAATACATTTTAATAAGGACCTGCTCCACCTGTTGAGCAGTATTTGTGAACAGTTGGGAGCATTTAAGAATTAAGAGAGAGAGATGAGCCTTCAGGATGTGGTGGAGACCAAAAATAGACAGAAACTCAATTTGATTTCTAATTTTGCTGTTAAATGTAAACAAGCAGCTATTGTGTTTAGAGCTTTAGTTTAATAAAACAGTCAAACCAGCTTTAAGAACGTCAGAAGAGTCAAAACCAAAATTTAGTCCCAGTAAAACCAGACACTAAGAAGCTGACATGAGTATGGAGGTGATTTTTAGGGATGAAGGTCAAACGGGGTAATGTGGTGCGATGACCTACATGGTGTGGCTCTTGTTCTCCACCAAATTGATGTCTCCAGGCTGCAGCTCGGGGATCCACCTCTCCAGCTCTTCGATCCAGGGGTACTTGAGGGACGAGGGCACCACCACCAGGAGGGGCCACTCCTGCCTGAAGGTGTACGCCACTGCGATGGCCTGCACGGTCTTCCCGAGACCCATCTGGGCCCACCAAACAACAACACATGGCGAATGGGGAGAAAAACAAGTCAATTGTGCACTGACTCTGTGGCAAATTGCATATGACGGCTGAGCTGATGTGAGGCCCAAGAGTAATAAGGTCTCAGAATGATTCTAGTGTCAAAACCGATTAAGCACGTGGGAGTGCAGCAGAGGGCTGACAAATTAATTTGGAAGGCATGCAGCAAACTCTCAGGTTCTTTTTTTTGGAAAATAGATTTCCTGAGCCAGCGTTGTGTGTGCTTACCTCATCGGCAATCATACATCTGTAAAACAAAAGGAAAAACTTTATCAGACAGGTTTCACACTTTGTAGAGAAGGTAATGGCTTCTATATATGACAGACGTTATAGTTTACATATAAAGACATCAGGTCCTCCAACTAGAGAGAATCATTACAGAAGCCTTAATAACCTGCAGTCACACCCCAACGTCTCAGACTTTTGTGGGTCATGTACACAAAGTAAAAGTTAACATAAACCAACAGCAAGGATTTCTGGACATACAACAAAACTAAAACTACTAATGTACGTCTGCAGGACTTCTTGCTATTCAATATTTATGTTGTTGTTTCTGTTGAGTTTGAGATACTGCATCTAATGCAGCAGAGTACCTTTGCAGACCACAATGTTTATGTATTTGGGTTCATTCAGTTCCTAAAAACAACAAAAAAAAAAACCCTCGCTGACTGCTGTAGAAGCCGGTGTTCCACTCTCTGTCTCGTAGGCAGCAACAAATTTAATTCAGGTCAATTCATTGGGGAGAACTTGAGCATTTTTATTTCTATTGAGTAGTGTTATTTGGGATTTATGGTCCCGCATTGGTGCCTGTTTGTCTAACTCTTTGGCTATGCGGGGACAGGGACTGTGGGAATTCAACCAACAGTCCTTCAAAAAGCCAACGGATATGACGATACACGCAAGTAGAATTCTGATTGGTTGAAGAGTTGACTTGAAGAGGAAAATGAGTCATGGAGCATACCCCAAAGGAAAAGAAGCAAGCTCTATACTGTAAGTATATAAATAATAGAAGCCATCAGATCAGTATTTTTTGGTAAAAATGTTGGTATACACCCGCCCCCAACAATATATGGCAAAGTCCCCGACGAATACGGGCACATTATTACTGTAGCACAAATACAACATACGTGATTCATTCCTATATTTTTGCCATCTACTTTACAGTGTAGTACTCACACAGTGTGCGTGAAAATAAGTGCAATGTAAGAGGAAAGCTTTAAAATGTAACCGTTAACATTTAAATGCATTTAAAAAAAGAATACTTCTTTTCCAAACATGAGTGTTACACTACCATCATGGAAGAGCTTTTGGCTCGGTACATTCTCGGGGAGAATGCAGCATTATGACTAACAAGAGCTGAAAAAAATAATCAATTAATCCCATTAGTCAGTCTACGGAAAATGGGCAGCTGCTATGACAATGAATTAATCATTTAATTATCAATCAAAAATAGCTGATTTACTGGTTGCTTATCATTAGGGTCCTAATGTTGTTTACATCTGAAATCCAAGCTTTTTATGGAGGGGGAGATGAGCCATGACTGAACCTATGAACGCTCACCTAACGTGGCTCTCTCATATGACATTGTTTAGCAACCGAACTATGTTATGGATTAACAGATATATCTGCCAAATACCTGTAATCGGTCATTATTACCCCTGATGTGGTTAGCTGGGATTAGTTGATATTTACTGTCACATCAATTCTGATGACTAAATGGAAAAAATAATGAATTGAAGAGTTAGTAAGTAGATTTTATTTATTTAGGACATTTGTAAAATCCTAAAATTCAAATGACACACATTCACATTACATACATAAATATCAAAGAAACAACCTATTGCAGAGATCAGCAAAAAAAAAAGGTCGTAAAGAAAGTCGCAGCTGAGGTTTGTCTGAGGTCACTTGGGAGGTCATCCCAGAGTCTTGGTGCAACACCAGCAAAGGCACGACTCTCTTTTGAAATAATCTTTGACCATCTGGTGGGGAAGAGTGATGGGGAAGCAGACTTCAACGATCTCCAGGGAGTGTAACACAAGATCATTTAAGGCTTTAAACACAAACAGCGCTGCTTTATGCTCCATCCTGTAATGCACGGGAAGCCGATGCAAGGCTGTCAATGCTGGAGTAATGTGAGCTCTCTTTTTTGTCCCAGTCAATTATCTTACTAAGGCTCTTTGAATTATAAGTTAGCTAGAGATGACTAACTCTAGTACACAGTGCGTTACAGTAGTCCAGTCTAGGTGTACTAAAAGATTGCATAGCCTTTGACAACTCTGTCGACAGCATTTATTAGTTTGTCAAGTTTCAAATTTGTGTCAAAGAAAAAATGCTGCTGAAAACGGTATAGAGTACTGAGTATTTCCTAGTTTAAATTCAGGTATTGTGACAACTTTTTCTGGAAGTATTTTGCATTTAGGACAAACGACGTTAACCGAGAAGAAATCACATGCAATGAGTTCTGCAGACTTACTCAACTGACTGAAAACACACCACAAACTGATGATTCGTGTGTGAAGGCCAAGAAAAGCGATGACTGCCAACATTAATTGTCCAACGACTCACACAGCCATAAAAGCGAGCCAGCGCACGTCAGCGCACCCATCCAGCTCACAAACACGCGCCGAAATCACCAACGCAATCACCAGAACGCATCTCCGCTAAAACACAGCGAGTAATGAAGGCTTTGGGAAAATAGTCAGTAAGAAAGACTTTTAGGAGATGCACTCAGGCCATCACAGTGTAAAGAATAATAGTGACAAATAATTGTGATAATCACGTTGATCATAACTGTGCAGCCCTGCTTACTATCTAGTCTTCCATTCATGCCGCACATTGTAAGGTACAATGAGAGCGCGACTCAAGTTGTCGCTGTGGAAAAAGTGCAACTAGATCAACCTCTGGTTCTCCCTGCCCAGTGGGTTTGGGCCCATTGTCGTGACCTTGCCTATTCATAAATGCTTCCAACATCATGTCAGAGCAAACAGTGCGACGGAGCGGCTCTGAATGCCTCAGACACCGTCTCTCATTATTCTTTCTCCTCCTCCCTCTCTTCCTCTCCCCATCTCCGCCCCATTTCTCTCTTTCAGCTGAGGAACATGATTAATGTGCACCTTGCCACTGGTGGTTTTTCTAATTGCCAGCACACCGGCCCAGTCAGCGCAATGCACACACACACACACACACACACAGTGTCACACCAAGCGTCTGTGAAAAATGCACACAATAGACATGCAAAAATACACACCAGACACACACACGAACAAAAAGAAGCGAACACATATATGGATACAGTATATGTGCTCGCGCATCCAGCCGCCCACACACACACACACACACACACACACAGGAGAGGGAGTGCAGCTGGGGCAGGTGCTTGCCATTTCTCAACACATTAATCATCCTCCTTTAAATAACCTGAGTGTCGTCTTGACGGTTTGAGACTGCGAGCATGCTGCAGTGCTGTTGCCTGACGACGGCACGCTCTCCGTCACAGCACCTTTCTAATGTTATCTCTGAAACCCACAAGCCCCAAAGTGTCAGGAAACGGGCTCCGGCGCCTCCCAAGCTGGCAGTGATGATTTGATGACTTTGACCTCTGCGCGGTGAGGCACGGTGCGGGCTCGGCGTGTAACCCCAATCTTCCAAAGCCCCGTTAAGGCTCTCTTCTGAGGACTGGACCTGTGCTGCTCTCTGGTCAGTGGAGAAAACTGCTCACGAGGTTAGACGCTGGATAAAAGGCTGACTTAAAGGGTGCTTCAGAATGGGCTCACTCTGATTGCGCACACAGTTACGGGCTCATAGTGCAGTCTTGCTCTATAGTGTGAATCAAAACAAAGCAGGAAATGTTGAAGCAGGTTCTCACATGTTTTGATAGCATCTATGCCTTGAAAAAGGATATTATAAACCTTAGTTAAACAAAGAATGTTCAGCTTTTGCTCCTGGCTTTTTTGTGCTCACAAAAAACTGTCAGAAAGCCCTTTTAGTTCTCTTCTTTCCCCACAAGGGAGAAAAATCTAATTACAAAAAAACAAAGCTAGTGTTTCCCAAAGTAATCATAATGTTTTGCTGTTTTTATTGTAGATTTTTAATATCACTACACCTCTGCTGAACTATGGTTTTTATATTCTGTTTTCAGCCACTTCCAGAAAGAAAGGAAGAAGCAGCAGACAGAAAAATAATCACATTTAAAACAGCAATGACCTCTAAAGATGCCGTTCTGCAGGAGCTCTGATTACAGATAATAGTTTCTGTTCATCATATAAAAGGACTGAAAGAATACTGTGCAGCATTTGAGAAGAAATAACACGATTTTCTTGTTGAAATTGAAAGGTTGCTCATTTCCGGATGTCCAGAGGTTTTGCTGCTACATTCTTATTATTGAGGATGTAAGAATCCTGCACGGCAGAAAAAGCCTCCTTCTGCTAACCAGACTCAAAGTGAGGGTCTGACCTTTGGCCGGGCAGTCACCCCCACCACCGCAATCAAATGACCTCGGTCCTCTTTTATTGAGTGATGAAAGAAATCTTAGTTTCATCCATGATTCAGGTTTAAAATGCCATAAACAAATCAGCTCAGTTATCAGTACTGGCATTTTCCATTTCAGATAACTTGCACAATTACCGTCATCAAAAGTATAGTCAGTCGGCCATTTTTAGCCTGAAGTTGTTCAAAAACGCAGCAGCCAAACTTTCTTGCTGCTACCAAGAAGCGAGCCCATGGCTGTGCTGTACTGGCAGTTTTGTCTTTGCTTTTAAAACACGACACGAGCTGTCGCCAGGACCAAACTGGATGGAGCATTTTCATTCCTCGGCCCTAAACTGTTGAACAGTTTGGGATCCGCAATTAGACTTTTCACTCTCTTGATGTTTTTTAAACCTCTGTTCTTCTCCTCAGTCTCCTAATGATCGTCATGGAGCCGTTCCTGACTCTGTATATTGTGCTCATTTCAATAAACACCTTTCTCCTTATTTATAGTGTTTTAAATCACATGTGTCTAATCTCACTGTAAATCCCTTTGGTTAGAGCAGCTGTTGCTTTTAAACGCACGCTATAAATAAAAGACTTGATTTCATAACTGCTAGCTAAAGTTAGCCAACTTTCATCTGCTGACTCTTTAATGTTTACATATGTGCTATGGCCGATGCTAGCTTTTGCCACACATTTACATTCTCTTCATTTCAGGACAAAATATCACAGCTGAATGATGTTCACAAACTGATATCGGGTCATGTGAAGTCAGATGCT